GGGGGGGGGGGGGTGCATGGTATTGTTTGAAACCAACTAATCTGATGTGTGTTAACTTTGTTTCAGGGCACTTTGGTTGCTATGTTTATATTTTAACCAATCTTTGTTTTCAGTCTTGAATGCCATGTTGTAAGAGGAAATATTTGGAAGAGAAAAGGTTGAACACAGATTGTGCCAGTATTCTTATTTCAGCTAACATGATTGGTTACTAATTATTTAATCTGGAGAGAGGAGTTTCACAACTGCGACTACAGTGAAATCCAGAAAAATTATGATTTTTTTTGTAATATAACATTGGATTTAATCTATTATTAACTTGCACAATTTGTGTTGTTGACTGTGGTCACTGATGCACTGTTTGCACACCTCTCACCCGTGACAGGTTCACTAACTTTGACGACTACAAGTGGTTCGAGAAAACCATGGGCCGTGTGATCACTGAGGAGATTGGAGAAGAGATTTCAGAACACACGCAGCAGACGCACTGGTTTGTGGACTTCCTGAGGTATTAACAAGTTGTCATTGTCATTGTGTTTAACATCATAATGGATTGAAAACACTTACTGTTGTGAGGCTGTTTGCATTGAAAATTGCACATTATTAATGTAAATTATAACAATTATGAAATAACCTCATTATAACCCGTATATTTTCACACATGCACATGCATGCTCACACCAAATAATAGAAAATGCATGCATGGTGGCTTCTGCATCACCTCATGTCACAGTGTATGACTGAAAATAAGTGAAAACCAAGTGACTTCTCTATTATCATTTCTTGGAGATTTTTTATTCAGTATTAGATTTTTCCATAATAATATTTCTTTTCTTAATTATTACTTTTTGAAATTGTAAATTCTAATGATCTGAATGTCCTACAGACTCATATTGATCCTGATCACGTTTTTCAGCTCAATAAACATTCAAGTTTACTTTTGCTAAATGTGTTCTTTTTTCTTCATACTCTAGAGATGCCCCAGAGGCTACAGGGGACGAACCAGAGGATGCAGACTTTGACATGCCCAAGATTTATGAACCCGTACGTAGATGTTTCTTTAATGATTAACAGATTTTGTTGTGTTCATGATTATTTGGTGGAAAATATTTCGTGTGAATTGGTGAATGGGCATTTGTAATATTAGGGGTGGGCAAATGACAAAATTTTTTTAAAACAGGTGGATTCTATGGCCATTTTTGCTGCTGAACACAAATCTGACAATATTTTTTACCAAAGCTAAAGATTTATATTGGTATCTGCTATTNTGTTCTCAAACTTTCAGGAAAGAAACATGGGACTAAAATACAGCTTCAGTAGTAGGGGTGGGCAAATGACAAGATTTTTTTAAAACAGGTGGATTCTATGGCCATTTTTGCTGCTGAACACAAATCTGACAATATTTTTTACCAAAGCTAAAGATTTATATTGGTATCTGCTATTTGTTTGTGAAAAAAGGCAGGAAATCGCTTTTTTGCCGCTTTTTTCACATAAAAATTATGTGTAATATGTCTTTCTATATGTTTTGAGGGTTGCTGAGTTCAAATATGAGCATATTCAAGACATTGGCAATATTATTAGGGTGACATCTGTAAAAATATGTTATTAAAAACAAACATATACATAAAATACACACTTTGAGCCTAAGATAAATATAAATAATGGCCATTATGTACATACTGAATTCATGGATTACAGTTTGGCATAAAAACAATGCTGAAAATACCTTTATGGATGTGTACCAACAAATTTTATGCTGTATAATTTTCCTTTTCTTCAGAACAGGTAAAACTTTGTCAGGTGACATCAACCTCTTACAACCTCTAAGCTCTTGACCTTGGAATAGTACTATAGTTTCAGTTGCGTAGTTTAAGAGTATCTCACCACCACCATGAAAGCATCAACAAGAAATACACTGAGACCAGAAGGCACTGTAAAGCGCCCTGTCACACTTATTTGGAATCTGAAGTAATCAAGCAAAATGAGCCATAATGAAGAATTTTCAAATTGGCGACCACATTAGTTGGGTAATATCAAATTAACCTTAATTCCAGTAAGAATACCTCAGAATGCGCTTCGAACTCACCTGATGATTCGTGCACATGTCGGTTGTATTGTATTAGCTCTCAAATGCAGCTCGAATGTAGTTGAAACACATTAGGAATATTGTTAATGCTGTCTAAATATAGTGAGAATATTAAGAATGCACTTCAGATGCCATACAAGTGTGGTTTCATTGCTGGCTGAATTCCGGCCTGCAATCAAGATGCATTCAAGTTGCATTCCTGCTCATTGGAGGCACAATGTGGAACATTCTGACAAGATTTGAAGCGCCTTGCCATTTCAGTTCTCCCTCGAATGTGATCAAAATGTTTCGAATGCTGTTGGAATTTCGTAAGAATCTTAAGAATGCGCTCATAGTGCAATTAGAATACACTTGAATGCCATTCTATATTTTTCCACTTGGAATGCACTTAGAAAGTTTTGAGAATGAGCAAAACATTTTAACAGGACGCAAGAATGGACCCAAACATTTAGAATGCGCTTAGAATTTTTAGATACTTCAAATATCCAGGAATAAACAAGAAATTTTCATTCCGACTACATTCTAGCTCATTCCGCCTCTAGTGTGACTAGGTAAAAAAGAAGACAATAACTATATTGTCACCGTTCAACCAAAACTCCTTATTTACTGCCTTACATACATTCTTTTCGGTGATAAATAAATTTTCAGTGTTCAGTGATTACATTAATTAACATTTACACATGTCATCTTACGGGTACGGCATTATTGCAGTTTGGGGGTAAAAACTGAAAAATCAGTTTCTCAAATTTCTGTTTTACCTGAACACCCGTGATCACTATTTCAAAGCCAATTTAATGACACCATTTAGTACCCCAAAACCCTGCCAGCGATTTTTTTAAAGCCTTAGTTAAGATTTGATCGTTGATAAAGCAAAATAATACCTTTGTTTTTAGAAGATCTGTCATTACGGACTCATAACTCCATAACAAAAGCATTAAACCCAAACGTTGGCATGGGATTGGAGCTCATGCCCTTGTGGTCCATTGGCCAATTTTCGTGATAAAATCTTGTTCAGGGATGAAGTTAAGACCCATATGGATTGCTAACTTATCTCAAAAAAGAAAGCTGTTAAATAGATGATTAAAGCTTTGAGTTGCTTATGCTTATACATTGCATATATATTTCATATTTTCAAGAGTTTTTTCATTGTTTCAAAGCAGCACAAAGACAGATACATTATTGTATAATTATATGCAGGAAAAAACTAACAATATCCTTAATGCTCTGCTACTGAGTGTTCTACTGTATATATTCCCGTATGTAACTAACATTATGCCTATTCTATATGTCAAAACTTTTCAGTTTCATGTGATCCTTGACCAATATTGACCATATTTGTTGTATTATTGTTTTTCCTAATTTAAAAGCCACAGTTGCATATAAACATTTGTATTTATGTACACAGAAATGGTGATTTTGGGGTGATTTTTACCTCAAAATGACAAAAAAAAACTCTTTTTAACTGAAAAGGAAGTGACCCAACCGAAATGATGTATCTATTTGTGCTCATAGATCATGAAATCATATGGTTAGACATATAACAAGCCATCTTTGAACTGATATTTAAAGATTTACATGAGAAATATGTGATTTGAGGGAGCGTTTGGTGGCCATTTTGAAAAATCACTTGATACCAATATCAGATGTAATCTAAAATGAAAATACTTATTAGATTTGTATTCAGCAGCCAAAATGGCCATAGAATCCACTTGTCTGAAATTAAATTTCCCAAAAAAGCATTCATTTGCCCACCCCTATCAGTAGGCAATGCAGTCTGTTTGGTAATTTTTTCTGGCAGTTAAACAGTTTTTTGTGAAAATTTAATNTAGGCGCCTACCTAGAGTGGGACGATAGAGCCAAGATGGAGGAATTCCTACGCAACAATGAAGAGATAAGATTGGATCTACCAAACCTTGATGGTTTCCCAGATTCCACCATGTTTGATTTCTTAGTAGAGGAAAATGGTGAGATTTGACAGGCCAGCCATTTTGCTGATTTTACAAAATTATAAATAAAATTTGGCAAAATAAAACACAATTTAAGACAGGCTTAATTTAAAGTATAATTAACAATAACAAATCAATTACTTTATGATAACAATATGTCCTCCTTCTCTCCAGGCACCTGGTCTCACTGGAACACCAAAGTGGAACCGTACCATTACCCTCCAGACACCACCCCTGAGTACGGCTCCATCCTGGTCCCCAACGTAGACAACGTCCGTACTGAGTTCCTCATTCACACCATCTCCAAGCAGGAGAAAGCTGTGCTGCTGATAGGGGAACAAGGGACAGCCAAGACAGTCATGATCAATGGCTACATGGGGAAATACAACCCCGAGGAGCACATGGCCAAGTCGTTGAATTTCTCATCTGCGACGACGCCCTACATGTTCCAGGTTGGTGTTACAGGGTGCTTGTAGCTGCCAGGTCACCTTCTATAGTAATATTGGTGCAATTTCTTTTGATAAAGAACTTTTTTTAAAAAGTTGTGGCAACAATTTTGTATTTGATTTAGAAACTAAAAAAGGTTATGCATATGCATTTTTATGCATTGGAGTGTAGAAAAAATTAATGGTGATTAATTTAACTTTTCATAGTGGTTGTATATTAGTTTGAGTAAAAGTCAAAAAATTTATATAATATTGACAAAATTATCAACTAAGTACAAGATATTACATTTACCAATATCTATGCAAAATGCTACAAACAAATAGGATTTATACCAGATAATAAAAAAAGCAAATTAGAAAATAACCTCTTTATTGACCTTACTTCCCGCAGAGAACAGTGGAGAGTTATGTAGACAAGAGAATGGGCAGCACTTACGGACCTCCGGCAGGGAAGAAGATGAGCGTGTTCATTGATGACGTCAACATGCCAATCATCAACGAGTGGGGAGATCAGGTAGCCAATGAGATTGTCCGCCAGTTAATGGAGATGAAAGGATTCTACAGCTTGGAGAAACCTGGAGATTTCACCACCATTGTGGACATGCAGGTATATAATGCCAACTTTCATCTTAATTTGTATCCGCACAGACATGTACATACACACACACACGTACACTTGCAGGCATTTACTGACAACAAAACACAGTACAAATAAAAAGTATACACAAAAATCTGAGTTATTGTGATAGGAAAGAAAAACAAAAAAAACACAAGAACAATTTTTTCCACTTATATTTCATCAAAGTGTTGTAGACCAGTCATTGCATTGTACACCTTCATAAATGCCAGACTATAGATTCCTTCTATTGTGGCTCTCTTTATTTCCAGTTCTTGGCAGCCATGATTCACCCTGGTGGTGGTCGTAACGACATCCCACAGCGTCTGAAGAGACAGTTCACCATCTTTAACTGCACGCTGCCTTCTAACCCGTCCATTGACAAAATCTTCAGCTGTATTGGCGAGGGTCACTACTGCCAGGAGAGGGGGTTCTCGGAGGCTGTGAGGAAGTTGATTGCAAGATTGGTGCCTGTAACAAGACGACTTTGGCAGCTCACTAAGGTAGGTGTCAGTAAAATTTTGGTGCTCACATGGTTTTTAACAGTTATTCTAAAAACGTCTTTTCTGCAATTGATGACTTTTCCATGTTTCTATTGAGTACAATAAACAAATTTGCTTTATTAAGTGCCTATTAATATTTGTGCAATCAAAATAAAATTTGTCCAGGTTGATATGTTAACTGTCGTTCACAGATTTTGCTTGTCTGAATAGTCTTCTGTGGACATGTACTTTTCAATAAGTTCTCAACATTCCTATTCCTATTACAATTAATAAATTCTTCATGCCATAGGTGTCATCTAGATGTTAACCAAGCTTCATAAATATTTTCATGCTTCCTCTCCAGATCAAGATGTTGCCGACCCCTGCCAAGTTCCACTACATCTTTAACTTGCGTGATCTGTCCCGTATATGGCAGGGTATGATCAACACTGAGTTTGAGGTCGTTAAGGACGAGAAGACGGTCATGGCGCTGTGGAAACATGAGTGCTGCAGGGTCATATCTGACAGGTGAAACAGTTTAGAAAATTTCAGATTCTTCAATTTCGGATTGATATAATTGATAAGATAATTCATTGTTGAAAATAGGCTATTCGCACTAGCACTTTTGACCGCGGTCAAGGCCTGACCTCGGTCCTATAGCGGTTAACTTTTCTAATGTGAACGGATGATGTACTCCTGACTGCGGTCGAAATATACCCAGATCGGGAGCTGGGTTAAATCGGAGTTAACTCCGAATCGCGGTCAAGACTGGATGTTTACCTTTTGTCACCGTTATGCGGTAAACTCATATATCTGAAATAGAATAATTTAAATGTAAAGGGTCGGATTTTTACTTATCCAAACGATAGAGCACATGCTTAACAGGAAGTACGATTGCTGAAATTCTATCGCAACTGATCGCTGCCGGTTCCAATGTGAATGCAAATAATCTCGGTTTAGTTGACCGCGATTCAACTGGAGTTAACTTGACTGCGGTTAACTTTCTAATGTGAATGGCCTATTAGAAGTGTCTATGTGCATAAAGATTGGGTTTGAGCCTGATATAATAGGATGCTTAGATAAAAAAGAAATAATTCCAGGGCTAGACAAGCAAATCAGCTGATGTACTTTTATCATGAAAATTGCATGTTTTATAATCATTCTAAAATTGTTAAGTCAGAACATTGGTAATATATATTATGGCACTTTGATTAAGAAGAAAATGAAAAGGCCTTCTTTCCATGTTTCCTGTGTGTTAAGTCTGATATACCTGTATCACTGGAGTCTTATCCACAGTCTAGGTTTACACTGCATGATACCAAAGGAGCCACAAGACCTAATATATTGAATGTTTATTTCATCACCTTTGTAACACAAACTCCTGCAGGTTCACATCATACGATGACTACACCTGGTTTGTTAGCACCGTGTCTCGCGTGGTGAGAGAGGATATCGGAGAGGCCAAAGTCCCCATGGTTGAGCTGGAACCCTGGTTTGGGGACTTCTTTAGGTAAAACTGACCAGGACTGACCACTGGTCTCTGCAGCACATGGACTGGGTTGTGTTGGAGGCACTGAT